CAGCTAGTAGGTACTGTAAGTAACTCAAGTAAGCTAAAGAAATTAAGATTTATTTATCCAAATGGGCACAAAAAGAGTCTTTCTGAAGTTTCAAATAACAGGGAACTCTCTCAAGATGACAACACTACTTTCAGAGTCACGTGACTTGTAGTAGGCCCCATCAAGGCCCAGTCCCAACACTCGCACTTTCACACTTGCGCCCTTCAATTGTGCAATCCCAGCCAGGGGTGTGAGTGCATAGGGGTCCATATTTTTAAGTACGGAAGTTGATCACGCCCCTTTTGCACCCTTGATCCAAACTTCACCCAAGTCCGCATCCATGTGGACTTGGTGGAAGGCTATTACCCATAATCCATTGCTGCGGTAGAACAGGCTCAAGTGTCTTTCCTGAAAATATCTATTTTCAAATAAAAGTAGTTCATTTTAGTTGATGGCCTGAATGTTTTAGACAAAGCAGCAATGAATGGAACCTTATTTCAAATGTTTGGTTGTTTATTTGAAAGTTGCTAATAAAGCTTTTTGTAAAAAGTAGCACAGCGACCAGCATCATAGCATGCGTTGCAGTCAGTGACGCAATGCTCCCTGCCCCAATTCCGCAGTTATTTGCACACTTGTGTACCACACACTCAAAGCCTTACTGCACACTTCCTCCAAGTGCACTTCACAGAAGACCGTAGAGCTTGGTGCGAGTATAGGGAAGCTAAGTGTCCTTCTCTTCCAGTTGGCTCATGGGTTCCCGAAAGAACGAAAAAATAAATGCAAGATTTATGGTGTTTTTTCCCTCCTGGAGGAAGGATTTGAAATTTTCTAAACTTACAGTAATTTTTCTTCTTCTCTTCTCCGTGTCTGCTTCAGTGACGTCATTTTGTAGTCCGGGACATATTTTCACACAAAACCTAAAATAGCTTTTGCCCCATTCAAAAATCAGAATGTGTTTTTAAAATTCTCGGTCATCATATGTAAAATCCATGGCACGTAAATCACGGGATTAGAAAACTGTGTTTGTAGCCCGCTGACTTGCACTCATTTATTCGTTCTTCTGCGGACCCATGGTCTGGAAGTAGATGGGCGTGACTTGGGCTCCCTATAACCAGCCGTAAGGGCATCGAGTGGAAGCCGAAGCTGAAAGGAACCAATTAAGCTCAATATCTAAGGTGCACACTCTAGGTTCAGAAATATGTTGCCTTTACTTTTAACTTACTCAACTCAGTCTTGGTTTGTAAAGAGCCTTACAGACATAGGAAATGACACCAAGGTGCTTCACAGGCATCATAAAACTGATGAAACAAACATAAAACACCATTACATGGTATATGATGAAAACAAAAAACTAACAACCAGAGGTAAATCTTAAAAGTAAGTCTTCAGCCTTGTTTTAAAATCCGCCACAGAGGTAGAAGCCGTTATGGGCAGAGGAAGCTCATTCCAAAGCTTTGGACCTACCACTGAGAAGGCTCTATACAATGTCTTCATCAAGTGACCTAGGGACTGAGAGCAGCAGAAGATTCTCTAAGCGGAGTGTCTAAGCAGGAGCATAAGGCTGTAGTAATGTTTATGTTTATTCATTTAGCAGACGCTTTTATCCAACGCGACTTACAATTTATAACCTATAGGGCATGTTGTGATCTGTGGGGGAAACTGGAGTACCCGGAGGAAACCCACGCATGCATGGGGAGAACACGCAACTCCACGCAGAAAGGCTGCAGCCGAGTTTCGAACCTGCGACCTTGGTGCTGCGAGGCAACAGTGCTAACCGCTGCGCCACCAGGGAGTAAGGCTGCCGCGTAAGGTGGTGCCAGTCCATTGAAAGTTTTGAAGACCAATTCAAGATTTTTAAAACATATATTCTAAAAGCAACGGGCAGCCAATGCAAGGCAGTTAAATTCGAGTGACATGGTCAAACTTTTGCTTGCCTTCTAAAAATTTGGCTGCTGCATTTTGCACGAGTTGCAACCTAGCTAGAGTATTCTGGCTCGCACCAACTGAATCACAGTAATCCATGCGTGCATTAACAAAGGCTTGAACTACAGCCTCCAGATCACGTCTTGAAGGGTTGTACCTTGGACAGAGGTAAAGACCTGGATCTTTACTGATAGAGCCTGGGTCTTTGGGTCGTGAAATAAAGATTAGGGCTGCACGATATTAGGAAACGCGATATGCGATAAAAGTGACTAATATTGTGATGACGATATTACTTGCAATAAGTAAAAACTTAACTCAGGAAAAAAAAATCAAAAACAAAAAATAAAAATGACAAAAAAGATAAGAAAAATGAGAAAAGCAGAATCAATAGAAAGAGCAGAACAAAGCTAACTCAGGTGTTTGCTAACCATCCAAATGAAGTGCCATCCGCCTCGGGGCGGCCATCGAACCTATGACAACCCACCCAATCTGTCAAATGGGTGAAGAGCTCTATTTGATTTGTTAAAAACAACATCATGCCTCCATTTGATTGACAGAATGCATTATGTGTAGCAAACATTTGAGCTGACCATTCATAACGATATTTATCTGTTCTTTGCGATATGCATATTGTGCATGCTGATATTGTGATAAAGATAGATTTGCGATGTATTGTGCAGCCCTACTAAAGACGTAACCGTATTCATCCTAAAACTAAACAAAAAAAACTGACGTTTCTGATAATTTAGTTAAACAGTTCATCAGATCTGAAGTTCAGCTGCTCTTAAAATAATAAAATTTTACTTGCTGCAGTAAAAAGTGTTCACCTGAACCTAGTTCCAAGTAAAACGAAGGATGGCTGAGAACACTGAATAGTGATGAAGACTCTGTTTGTAATCTAGAGAAGTTCACTTACACAATATTCATGCAAGAGTGTTAGCATTTGTGAAATGTCGTATTTTGGATGAGATTATTGTGCAGTTACACAGGAGACTTTTGGTTAGTTGGTAAAGACACACACAATCTAAAGCATCCTGTTCAGAAGCATAAACGTGCTGTAATTTATTCTAATCTGTCATAATAATACTAAACAGGTGGGACAAATCCCCAGTGTGTCATCCGATGATCGTATCAGCATTCATTCGTGGTCTGCCTGTATCTGTCCTGTCTATATGTGTGTGTGTAATCTTGGTCAGGCTGTTCTGTGGAGTCAAGCTCCTATGCTTTGGTTCGCTGGAGCGCTGGCAATAAAATTCTCTCTGATTCTCTGATTAACAAATTCATGCAAATGGAATAAGCAGTAAAATCTCAAATTGATGTCAGAAAAGTAATTGAGGGAAAGCCACCAGGCCAGGGACTTAAAGGGTTTCCCCAATTATACGGTAGTTTTAGTCTGACTAAGAAACAACAACAAAATAAATAAATCAAAAGGTGTAAAATCAAGCAAGAACACAACATAAGTCTACTACACCACACCATCGATGGGCAGCATGTGAATGTGAGCAGTCAACAAAGAGAAAGCCAAAGGGTATCATTCCCCATGGGATGTGGTTACCCCCGGTTACCAACCCTCATCTTCAGCTTTAGGGAAATGGTAGAGGTGGGGCTGAGCACATGCTGGATGAAGCTGGTGTGTAATGTGAGGGGAGAGGGTGGAGTCACGGAGGTGCTAGCTGTGCAGCAGCTTGTGGGGGGATGGGAGGAGCGAGGAGAAACATGAGGGAGGGAAGCACGGGTGTAGTTGTTACAACAGATTGAAAGGCTATTGTTGAATCACATCCCATTCCAGGTAAGATGCACAGTTGATATTTGTGATGGTGACCCGACGAGAGGATTTAGGATGCAAGAACGAGGGAGGAAAATGTTTGTCTGAGATGCTTCACATGTTGCTGTGTTTCATCAGATGTGCTAAAGTGTGAGTGATCATATCTCTCTAGTGATCAGTGGGCTTTTGTTGTTGTTCATGGAAAAGTAAAGCTGCGATGGGCATCAACCTGTCTTTGCATGCACTTGTGTGTTTTGGAAACAGGCACATGTCTAATAACCTGGTTAATCACTTGTAATGGAAAACCTTAGACCTCACAGACAAGGAAACACAGCCTAACCCTAAGGACAGTTGTTATAGCAACAGGATGACACGACAGGGAGGAGATGGTAACTAATATCTGATAGGACATTAAAAATCTAGAAAAACAAAGAATAAGTACTTCAAACTTTTAAAGCTAGGCTGTTAGGATGCAATTAGGCTACAAGTAGTTATTTATTACCACAGGCTTTGGTTTTCTAGGAAGGTCTTGAAACAATAAGTGCAAGACTTTGTCTTTACCTTTAAATTTGCCCTTATGAGTGTATCCAATAGTCAGTAGAATCTTTAGGAGGTGAAATTATTCATGAAGGTTGGACATTTTATCAATTTTTTAACTTTTATTTTGAAGATGCACAAAGGTTGACTTCTATCTACCAGCATGAATTTTTGCATCTGACAAAATTATGAAAACTGGTTTGTGTAAAAATTTTCTATAAGAAAAAAAATTAGATTTTTTTTCTTGCCTTCAAATTTCCTGGCTGATTTTTTTAAAGCAGTAATAGAAACTTTGTCCTGTTCACTGCCTCAGATGAAACAAAAGGAGCCTATAACATATCGCCTGTTTTCTAGTCGCAGCATAAAGACAGATACAGTTTGAGCTCTGTTTGTTTTTTTTATCTGCATGTCAGTGACTAAAAAGCCTCCCATCTTTGTGTTTATCTCACAACCTGACCCTAAGTGACATTTAGTTAACGCCTTTAAATACGAAACCAAAATAGGGCCATGTCGGCATGAGGATGTTCCAGATGTGGATGAATTACCACACAGAATGCTTAGTCGACAGGAATATAATGGATCCAACAGGAGGAAATACAAAATGTAGAAAAAGAGTGAGGAATTATTTGTGGACGGTGTTTGTAATGACAAATATGGATTCATTTGCTGGTGAAAATGCAAAAATGTGCAGAGAGAGAGAGAGTGTGTGTGTGAGTGTGTGTGTGTTACTGAAGATCAGCAGCAACGACTGGTGTAGTGCTAAGGTAGTGTCCCTTTGTGTTTCTCTGCCTCACAGGTGAAAACCACTGATAATGCATGGCGTGTAAGCCCCCAATCATGGCCAACAGGAAACGGCCAGGGACTTGTGGGGGTAATGGTATGTCTGCTCCCAGCCCTGCCTCCTGGCCCACCCCTCATCCTGCAGAATCATGTGATCTGAAAGCCCTCCCAGCACGGCAGCGCCCACTCCGTTATCACAAAGAGACGCACGATATGAAAACCCTCCCTCACTCCTGCAAGGCACAATACACCTCTTCCAAATCTCAGGATGTGAGCAACAGCTGTCCGCAACAAGATGCAGATGCAGATGTGGAAATGAAGCGGTACAGCAACCAAGATGCAGACTCACAACCCCAAAATCAACGGCCAGAAACACTATCTGCACCTGAGCACAACCACGATGAGCATCGCCAGGCCAGTTTTCATGGGGAAGCTGACAGTCTGGATGATGACTCCAGTTCTGACTATATCAACAACTCTTCAGAAGACGAGGAAGACTATGATGATGGTGAGTATGACACTGATCCCCATTGTGACTCTATAAGGGTGAGTCCATGAATGTTAAGTGAAAGTGTGATTTCACTAGGGATGGGTACCTTTGACATTTGAATCGATCCGGTACTAATTCCCAGTACCTACGAATCGATACAGATACTTAACGGTACCAATTTTCGATACTTTTGAGTGTTTAATATTTTAATACTCTTTTATAATGAAATATATATTTTTCTCAATATATAACAATATTTGATAAATATCACGATAAATAACATACAACTGTTTGTATTTTAACATCGTCCTTGTAGTTTTCAAAGCTGATAATTAAACTGAAGCAAACATCTTTACTGTGAACTAAATTTACTGTGTATCTTCATTCCTTTTACTGTCCTTTTTCAATAGATTTTTCCTACTGGGAAGTTAGAATTTCCGAGGAGAAAGCGAACGCACCATTAGCTGATAACAATGGTGGCATAGGAAGCTAACATATCAAGCTAACGTTATCTTAAACAGTTTATTTAACTGCTGGAGCAGATTAAAACGATGATGCCTCACACTTAGATCGTTGCCACTGGTTTCATCTTCACCCAATCACCCGTCACATTTAGTAAAGTGAAGCCAAACTTTAGTGCGTGTTCATGTTCTTCTAGTCGGATTTTTGGAGTTCCGAGGAGAAAGCGAACGCACCATTAGTGAAACGGAAGCTAACATATCAAGCTAACGTTATCTTAAACATTTTATTTACCTACTGGAGCAGATTAAGATGAGGATGTCTCACTTAGATCGTTGTCGCTGGTTTCATTATCACCCAGTTACCCATCACATTTAGTGAAGTAGTGGACCCAAGCTTAGCGTGCATTCTTTCTATCATGCTGCTCTGTTTACAACTCGCTCGCAGCGACCGATGACATAACGCTCTTGCGCATGCGCAGCTGTCTAGGCAAGTTCTCGTTGTGAAGGACGGGTACCGAATAGTGATGGGAATTCCGGCTCTTTTGAGAGAGCCGGTTCTTTTGGCTCAGCTCACCAAAAAGAGCCGGCTCTTTCGGCTCCCAAGTGGCTCCTCAGATTTTCTGTTGCGTAGAGTACATTTATCACCAAAATAATGCAAAACTATATGTATAATAATTTACTAATATAAAAAAATGCAATATATCCAACATTTATCATTTCTATGGATTTAATAACTGAACACTATAAGAAATCTCCACTTTCCAACTGCTGGCGCTCATTTCCTCACCGTCTTCGTCGCACTCTCCTCTCTCGCTCTCCTTTTTCCTCCTCCTCATTCTTTCTCGTCTCCCTCCACCCACATGTGCTCTGCTGTGTGTCTGAGTCTGATCCACCCCTACTGCTCTGTGTGTGGACAGTCTGGACACGCAGTTACACATGTTGACCAATCGCCTGTAGCTTTCACCAAAGCAAGAGGGGAGGGGGGGGAGGGGAGGGGACGGCTCCCAATGACGAGCCGGCTCCCGTCGTTCACTTCAAAGAGCCGGCTCTTAGAGCAGGTTCGTTCGCGACCGACACATCACTAGTACCGAAACGAGGCACCGTTTCAAATTAAGTGAATCGGTGCTCGGTCGGTACTGTGGAATTCGGTCGGTACCTTAAAAAGTCCCGAATTCGGTACCCATCCCTAGATGTCACGCTGTCAGACTTTTCTGATCCTAGAGTTTTACCATCTCTTTTCTATCAGAAGCTAATGCAGGAGATAGGTGTAGGAGACTGTTTTCATCTTCAGCCTGCATGAAAAGCTCAGAGTGACCAATGATAATCAGAAATAACCACGAAAATTTGTTTTTTATTCAGTGATTCCACATTATTTTCACAGCACCACTTTTTTACCTGGACCAGACACACTTAACACTGCTCTTTTATAATACAGCACCATAAATAATAAAACTATTCAGTGCACACTTGGCACAGCAATAATTAAAGTTTTAGCACTCCAGTTTTAAACTAAGAGATTTTTATTTTGGGGATATGAAGTTATAGCTCTTTTGGTCATATTTTAAGAATAATAATTGTGATTTTATGCAACACTTTAGGATTTGGCTAAGGTATTTCTGATAAAGAATGGGCAGCTACTTTATCTCCCACCATTTATTATATGGTGTATGGATATTTATTTATTCCAGAAACAGGAAATGAAGTGTAGAACTGAGCCTGCGCTTGGTTCCCTATAAACCTTTACAGGTTTTAGTTTAAAATGTGAGTTTTTGTTCTTAAATTGGCTTGGCTCACAGTAGCAGTTAGTTGATTTCTTGTGCTAAAGTATACATGCACCACGTCATAAACCAATCACATTAGTTCTACTGGTAGTTAGTTGAGTGTTGAAGAAAGAGTTGTACTATTTCAAAAGTCCAGTCCTTACTAAAGTCGTTGGTCATTTTGTAATTATTTACACATAATTTTAATAGTCAGAATACTGTTTTCTGATTCTTTTTTCTTTTCAGGGCTAGCAGAAGAGGATGAGGGTGTGACCTACTACATCCGCTACTGTCCAGAGGATGACAGCTACCTGGAGGGCATGGACTGCAGCAGCCAGGGAGGCTGCAACCACAGCCACAGTCAGGGGGGCTGCAACGCCGACATGCCTCCACGAGGATCCCACACTAGCGAATGCCATGAGGCTGGAGAAGGGTGGACTGAGGAGGGGGAGGCAGATGGGGAGGAAGAGGTGCGAGAAGAGGAATGGGTGGAAGATGAGGAAGGAGAGGGGGCAGTGAGGGAAGAGTGGCAAGAAGATGAAGAAGCAGTGGAGGAGTGGACGGAGGGAAATGAAGAGACACATGAGGAGTGGAGAGAAGAAGGCCAGGTGAGGCAGGAGCAGTGGCCAGAACGGAAACGCCACAGGGTGGAGGAGTGGGCTGAGGGGGAGGGAGAGGTCCGCTGTGAGGTGTTGGAACAAGATCCGGATGAGCAGATTTATAATGGACGACCAGAGCCCATTCTGGACCATCACCACCACAACCACCAGTCTGCCGTGGAAGAGGCCATGTACAACCAACAGGCCGACAGAGAGGAGGAGGAAGAGGGTGAAGAGTGCTGCCTCAACGAGGAGGAAGACGAGGAAGGTGATGAGCACAGAAGAGTTTACACCGGAGACTACTATGTTCCTGAAGACAATGGGAATTCGGTTCGAGTGTCTCCTTACCGTAGCCGTAAAGTGCTGGTGGTAGAGGGGGAAACGGGGGAGGAGGCCGAGGAGGACATTGATCAAATCGTCGCTGAGATTAAGATGAGTATGAGCATGGGGAGTCTAAGCAGTAGCACGGACCAAAGCCCTGAGGAGCTCGCACAGGACCCTGCACCAAATGACTACCCTCACTCTAAGTCTGAGGCAGCCTATCCACCTGCTCACCACCGCCATGACATTCGGCCAAAGTCCCTGAATCTCCCCTCCATGCACCACAACAACCCTGAGCTCCAAAGGAGCATGAAGGCACACTCCCCTGAAGACAGACAGAGATGGCCACAAGAACAGGTGAGCTGTGTCTGTAACACAAAAATATGAGATGAAATTTACTAACATGGCATAGTTTTATAACAGTGATCTGAAACAAATGAAACTGGAGTGTTCTGACTTTAGAGGAACATTTGTTTTCTTTAACTTGATGGATGTTTGTGACTCAACAGTTATGGTTCTACAATGTCGTACATTTTGAAATTGAGGAAGGTTTGGACTCCAGGGAGGCCAGTTCAGTGGTCTGTTGCCATGCATGCTGTTGTAGTGAAAGCATTACAGTTTGGCATTCTCTTGATTACACTTGGAAGGCCTTCTCAGAAAATCTGGAAACTCATATTTACTTTTAAGCATTGGTCGAGTCTGTAATTTGGCACTAAACGTGTTCAATCCCGTCTGAGGTGCAGACTGAATAACAAAAAAAAATGATAAAAAACAAAATGGTTGCTTTTCTCTTTACTTGAGAGGGTGTAGCATCCTTTCTTTCCAAAACTATTTTGAAGTGTTGCTGGGTTCTTACAAAACACAAGAGGTGTGTAATGGCAAGAATCTGGCAATACGATATATTTCACGAATCACGATACGAGCTGGACAATATTTTAGAATTTTTAAGACAGAGAATTTTTTATGTTAACCCCCCCCCCCCCCCCCCCCCCCCCACACACACACACACACACAGTTTTATTGACTCATTCACTGCCAGCCGTTTCCTGATCAGAAAAGCCCTTCGCTGCCAGCATTTTTCAGCGTTTTCACAGTTTTCAGAGTTACAGAACGTTGCGCGCTAGGATGATATCGACGCCAAAATTAACAAAACAAAGCGAAGACTCACCTCTTACATCAGGGTGAATCTGCACATTTCGAGCGTCATCCGTTCTTTCATAATCCGTTGTTGAATTGTGATCGGCAGAAGCTTTTCTGGTTCACGCCTCACTTTTTTTTACAGCAGCGACCCAAAAACGATCTCCTAACACATGGATTTTCTGCTTCCTGATCACGTGACGTGTGACGTACACGGATGAAGATCGACTTTAGAGCTGGGATGTTTGTTCTCACAGTGCGGGAGCTCGCTCCGACGCCCACACAGAAAAAAAAAATGCAAATGGCGACTTTAGTCGTCAATGGCAGTTAAAAATAAAAAAATATATATATATTTTTTTGTTCACATTTTGTTCTTGTGAAGCACCTCGTGGTTTTTCTGTTGAGAGGCGCTTTATGAAAAATCATTTTTTCTACAGTTCGACCTCGTGATTGAACATCCGATTGAACGTCAGAAATACACTAAGCTGATTAACGTTCTGCCTGTTTGCACTACTGAGTTGTGCACTATGATGAATACTGATCAAGTCTTTGTCTGATTCAGTCTTTTTCTTTCCTTTCCAAAGTAGAACCCACAGACTTACATGTGTTGCTCCTTTGAATCTGAATCTGCTGTGCAGTTAAGAAGGAGGTTTAAAGGGCAGGAGCATTTCATTTTAGTCCTAATGCGATTGAGGTCTAATGAGCAGTAAGGGACTGCCAAATCAATATCCAACAGAGGGGGGAAAAGGCTTTCCACTGTGCTGAAAATGTCCTTCCTCCCATTTTTACTACGCTGTCCTCTGATTCTGCATGCAAATTAAACTAGCTTACCATTATTAAATATGCTCCACTTTGTTAAATACTTCTCAAATTACAGACTTTTTGTATTTAAATTCAGAAGAATGTCCTCATTTATTCATAATCAGTTTTTGGGTTGTTAAGAAGGAAATGTACTAAAATGGGAAAACATCTGCACAGAAACGATGGCAGCTACTGTAAGAGTGTTTATGTTAGTGATGCTTATGAGTCCATTATAAACACAGCTGAAGGTTAGATGAAGTAGAATCCCTTTTCTGTGTAGTTAAACGTTTAAGGCCAGTATACAGCTATAAGCTGCGTTTTTAGTTTTGATGGGAGACATGAAGAAAACAGTAAAATATTGGAATTTAAACCGATGCTTCTCTTGTGTTTTGTTGTGTCCTGGATTGTTTCACATGTCTCATTTATAGCAACCCCACATGCTGACTCAGTCTCCTCCAACGCAAGCATCTGCGGCCGGGGGAGGAGATGTTCATTCATGCATTGTTGTTGTCTCCTAATCCGTTCTAATTCTTTTTATTGTTGCACCTGCTTTTCTGTGTTAACCTAACAGGTGAGCAATGGTCCTGAACAACCCAGGAAACAGCAGCGATCTGACCTCAATGTTCCTCTGGAGAACAACAATGTACCAGAGGTAAGGTGCTGCTGGATGTTCCGGTGCAGGATAAAACTTGAAGTGTAACGTGTGTGTTAGGGATGCTCCGATCCTATCGTGTGACTTTCAAACGATTGGAATTGGGTTAAAAAATTGGATTTAACATTATAAACAACAAATATGACTTTTTAAATTCACCCTGAGATAGAAATTTTCAAATGGAACAACGGTGGATTAGTTTTAATCTCAAATGATGTAGAGGAACTTGTTTTCTTTGTTTCTTGGAAGAAAACAACACCCTTACTTCACACAATCTATGGCCAGCGGGGTTTCAGACACCATACAGCTGTTAGCTAGAAGGCTAACGCAGAGCTAACGTGTCTGCAGGAGGCGTCATTTGGAATCCTAAGATGTCCAAGGAAGATCCTGCCTTTCTCGCCTCTGATTGGCAAGAAAGGCTCTACTTCGATTGACTATTTCATTTAGCAGCAAACTGGCTGTCCTGCTAAGTGCAGACTGTCCTGCCACCAGCAGAAAGCTGTTTTGGGGAGTTTTGTTAGGAAAATGGCCGTGTTCGAGTTGAGCTGCGCCTCGCCTGGAAAACAAACGAGAGCAGACGGAAGCAGCAGTGGGAGTGGCTGAAAGTCGGCGTTTAAGTCGGACAGATTTCCCTACATGTGTAGCTCGGGGGTGACGATGGCTGAAGATATCCCGTTAGAGTTCATACTTGTTTAATTATTTATTTTAATTCTGGTGCCTGTTAGCAGCTGAAACACATCCTCACGTGCTTGTGGATATCATATATTGTATATGGAGACCTGGCTGTAATAATAAGTAAAGGTTATCAGCTGTAGCTTCAGTGTGTTCATAGGAAACGTGAGAAAATAACACAAAACACATTTCTCTTTATGGCCAATATAGTTGTCATCATCAACATAACATGATTTACAGAATACATGTGACCAACTATAATTTTTTTTCTCCTTGAATACGCTTTATTGACAAAGGACATAATACAACTACAAAGAAATAGCAAGCACAATGTCAGGGGGTTTCTATGGGAAAACAGAACAGTCTAACAAAGAATCACATGATATTGAACAGGGAACATAAGTTTATGGTTTTGACAGCTTTCAAATTTTGAGAATGTTGTATGGTTTGAATTTTTTTTGATTATTTTATTGATATTACTAGCTAAATTTCATATACATAAGTTGAAATTTTCTAATGCAAAACCTTCCTTTCAGTGCTTTTTAAATGAAACCAGACAATATATAAAAACCATGTGACCAACTAACATTTCATGTTCTACCACCCGATGTTTGGATCAAAATATGAACCAATCAGATCTTAGATCAGGTGAGAGCCAGGCGTTTCCCGTCATCCTCTAGGTTTTGCAGCGCCTTGCTCTAAAGTCTGCGGCCGCCTTGAGCTCACGAGGTTATCATTGCCTACGTATGCATGACATCAGAGCAAGTCGGCGTCAAGTCGGACACAAATCTAACCGGCATGCACTGCGCGCCGATCACCGGTGATTGAATCTGCGCAGAAACAACACGGCTCATCTCGAACACGGCTAATGTGAACTTGGCGTCATAATAACCATTCTGTCCTGTTTTGCAAAACATTTTATGTTTTATGTTTCATAAAAAACTGAAAAACATAAAATGTGAATTTATATTCTTGTTGCATCAATCAAACTGTTGGACTTACTTTAAATCTCTTGGCTCTCAAGCATTACAGTACATAGGATAAACATGTGCCTTACCTGGGTATGAAAATTAATAAAACTGCTCTATTCTGCCCAGCTGTGTGCATCAGGTTTGTTTCTTTTCTAGAATAATGAAAACTGGTGAAGAATAGGTCTAAATTATTAGATTTTGATTAAACGATACACATTTAACCTGTTGATTAGAGAAGTGCTTTAACTTTTAAACAGCCTTAACATATTAAAGTGATGAGATAGCCAAACAATTAAGTAATAAGATAACCCCAATAGAGCCAACAGATATAAAGTCAGTCTACAGTGTGATAAAATGCTACAAGATTTATTATGTAACGTGATGGAAGTGGTTACTTTTACTGAATGATCAATAAAATGTGATATTCCATATAGATATGAATTATCAACCTTATTGGGTCTTTGAATATTTGATTTAATATGAACTTATGTTCTTTGGCCTGCCAGGGAAGTACACACTTCTTAATAATTCAGAGTCAAAAATATAGTTTATAAAAATGAATTTAATACTATGTTTCTAATCTAATGATGAAACATTTTGACATTTTTCTGGTTCTTTTATGAAAGAAACTGAAACTGGTTTGTTGCAAAACAGGAAAGGATGTTTATTATAGCAATGAGTTCACATTTTCTTCAAAAAACTCCTCAAGATCTGGCTGTAAACATAAAAACCTGCAGCGAGGGAAAACTGTTTCCTCTTACATGAAATAGCCAATCATAGGAGAGCCCTTCCAGCCAATCAGAGGTGAGAAAGGCGGGACCTTCCTGGGACACCCTAGGATTCCAAATGAAGCTCCATTTAGCTCCAGGAGAGCTAAATGTCTGTATTTGGGTGGTATTTTAAACCGGAAAGCGAAGGCAGTATAACAGACACTGTAATGGCTACACTGGTCATTCAACATGCTGGAAAAGACAGCAAATTATCTGTCTGCATTAAGTCCGAGTTCGCAGCAGCATCTAAAAACACGAAGCCAGCCAATAGTGGAAGATATAATAAATATAATTAATACAGAGAAATTTCAGACAGACGGCAACACTTTCTGGTTTCTCCTTCTGCAGCATTGGAACTGACTGCGCCAATCATAGACATGAATATGTAGACACGCCATTTGGTGCTGGAGAGCGTAACAGCATCGCCGCCATATTGGGTGGGTTCCTCGCTCGCCAAACCCAACTGGAGTCAACATTTGAATTATCATGTCATGGCGTACAGTGGTGTGAAAAACTATTTGCCCCCTTCCTTACTTCTTATTCTTTTGCATGTGTTTCTGGTCAAACACATTTAACCATTAGTCAAAGATAACACAAGTAAACACAAAATGCAGTTTTAAAATGATGGTTTTTATTATTTAGGGAGAGAACAAAATCCAAACCTACATTGCCCTGTGTGAAAAAGTAATTGCCCCCGAACCTAATAACTGGTTGGGCCTCCCTTAGCAGCAATAACTGCAATCAAGTGTTTGCGATAACTTGCTACGAGTCTTTTACAGCGCTCTGGAGGAATTTTGGCCCACTCATCTTTGCAAAATTGTTGTAATTCAGCTTTATTTGAGGGTTTTCTAGCATGAACCGCCTTTTTAAGGTCATGCCATAGCATCTCAATAGGATTCAGGTCAGGACTTTGACTAGACCACTCCAAAGTCTTCATTTTGTTGTTCTTCAGCCATTCAGAGGTGGATTTGCTGGCGTGTTTTGGGTCATTGTCCTGCTGCAGCACCCAAGATCGTTTCAGCTTTAGTTGACGAACAGATGGCCGGACATTCTCCTTCAGGATGTTTTGGTAGACAGTAGAATTCATGGTTCCATGTATCACAGCAAGCCTTCCAGTTCCTGAAGCAGCAAAACAACCCCAGACCATCACACTACCACCACCATATTTTACTGTTGGTATGATGTTCTTTGTCTGAAATGCTGTGTTACTTCTACGCCAGATATAACGGCCTTCCAAAAGTTCAACTTTTGTCTCATCAGTCCACAAGGTATTTTCCCAAAAGTCTTGGCAATCATTGAGATGTTTCTTAGCAAAATTGAGACGAGCCCTAATATTCCTTTTGCTTAACAGTGGCTTGCGTCTTGGAAATCTGCCATGCAGGCCATTTTTGCCCACACTCTTTCTTATGGTGGAGTCATGAACACTGACCTTAATTGAGGCAAGTGAGGCCTGCAGTTCTTTAGAAGTTGTCCTGGGGTCTTTTGGGACCTCTCGGATGAGTTGTCTCTGCGCTCTTGGGGTAATTTTGGTCGGCCGCCCACTCCTGGGAAGGTTCACCACTGTTCCATGTTGTTGCCATTTGTGGATAATGGCTCTCACTGTGGTTCGCTGGAGTCCCAAAGCTTTAGAAATGGCTTTATAACCTTTACCAGACTGAAAGATCTCAATTACGTTTGTTCTCATTTGTTCTTGAACTTCTTTGGATCTTGGCATGATGTCTAGCTTTTGAGGTGCTTTTGGTCTACTTCTCTGTGTCAGGCAGCTTATATTTAAGAAACAGGTGTGGCAGTAATCAGGCTTGGGGGTGGCTACAGAAATTGAACTCAGGTGTGAAACACCACAGTTGGGTTATTTTTTAACAAGGGGGGCAATTACCTTTTCACACAGGGCAATGTAGGTTTGGATTTAGTTCTCTCTCTAAATAATAAAAACCATCATTTCAAAACTGCATTTTGTGTTTACTTGTGTTATCTTTGACTAATGGTTAAATGTGTTTGATGATCAGAAACATTTTGTGTGACAAACATGTAAAAGAATAAGAAATCAGGAAGTGGGCAAATAGTTTTTCACACCACTGTATGTCTGATTTAGTTAAAAATCATTACAAAATGTGTTTTTTAGTTGGGTAAACGTCTTCACTAGAAATAAATGCAATTGGTGACCCATCATAGGTGGCGGCTCGCTAGTACGCAAGCTCCAATAGACAGTCCCAGTCTACGTGTATGATGTCTGTGGCGCCGACTGCTGCAGGTGTTGTACAGTTAAAAGTTAGCCTGCTGGCCATAGCGCTGCCTCTCCTGTTAAGGGAATGCGTGTCACACAATAGAGCTATATAACGAGGATGTAAACAGATATATGAGCAACTTAACCATTTTTAAATATAAACTAAGAAAATGACATGAATACCTAAATAATAATTTAAAAATGTATGTAAAACTTGGATGCGTTTTTCCTTTTTTCAGCTTATTTTAATGCTTTGCTTAAGTATCGGATCAAGACTCTGTATCGGCAGATACTCAAAATCGGATCGGAAGCAAAAAAAGTGGTAATTGTGCTTTTATGAGAGGCGTGTCTCACTGAGATTTCCTTCATAAGCTCCACCAACTGCTCCTTTTTTTGACCTTGAGTCCAGTTAAGATTCTGCATTTGTTGGAAAATGTCCGTAATCTTATAGAAAAGAGAAATTATGTAAACAGTTCTCCTTACTTTGTCCCTTTCTCTTCCGTGTAACGTTTTCTGTGTGGCGTAAATCCAGCCGGATGTTCAGAAATGTAGGAATATTTATCAAACACCTCATTTAGCTCAGTATGCTGTTGGTATTTAAACTAGATTTGCGTGTCAGTAACTGGGTTTTGGAGATTCCAAAAGCTTTGTTCTGCATTTTTGCATCAAAGAATGAAAAGAAGAACCCAAATTTCTCACATTAGTTTATATGTCTAATTTTTGTCTTCCAGCCAACAAAGAAAACGGCATCCTTCCCCAGCTTTGTCGATGGTAAGTTAATCCGTTTGCCCACCTGTTTGGTGATGAAACCAGAACAGTGCAGTCACATGGAACAACTCCAACTTGTGCCTTGCGTTCAGTCTGTCTGTTACGAGCTTAAGCTATTTCCCTCTGTGCTATTTTCTGCTCTTTGCCAGGTTGGGGCCTTAGCTTAGCTGTCAGTTTGCTCCATCACATCATGACAGTGTTTTCTGCTTTGATGTGGGGCTCCTAGAGTCTGAATCTACGTATCACAGATGCAGATTAATCTCAGATCTCACTGGCACTACACCGTGATAATCTAACAGTCAGTTATCACGCCAAGTGCAGTGATTAAAATAACCATTTTCACCACACAAAACTCACTTTCACTTTGAAAAGTCTTCAGATGTTCCTTTCATCTCCAGTCCCAGGGCCCTGTGAGCCAGAGGACCTGATTGATGGCATTATCTTTGCTGCTAACTACCTGGGATCCACCCAGCTGCTGTCTGAGAGGAACCCCTCCAAGAACATCCGCATGATGCAGGCGCAGGAGTCCGTCAGCAGGGTCAAGGTACTTAATCCTACTCTAACCCAAACAGACATATTTTTCTTTTGATCGGCGATATAATTCTTCTTCTTTTCCTGTTAAGCCTGATGTATACTTCTCCGTGAGCTCCACAATAGAGAGACGCGCACGGAGTGTCGGAAAGGTTTTCACATTCGAACTTCTGTTCAGGCAGCGGAGTGTTGCAAAGCAATTCCCCGCCAGGAAAACAGAGGGCGTAGCGCTTTTCTGTGGTATCCTGCCACCATAAAACTCATATGGTCCCCGATAACGTATTTACTAATGTGTTTATATATTTCAGAGACTGTATAACACAGACAAATTAGTCCTTCTTTCTCCTCCTCCCCTTCGTGCGGTCGCCACATCTAAACGCACATCTCCCGTCGTTTCTGTCCACGTTTGCTCCGTATTTTGTTCTCCGTCACTCACGAATGAATAAATGCAAATATTTTCTTGTTCTTCAGTGTGTTCTGGGTCTGCCGCTAAATATCAGTTTACTTTTTAACGGAGCTACAGCGGTGCTGGTGACGAATATGCAGGAAGCAGCGTCCTGACCAATCGCAAGCTTGCGGTCTCCGTCACTTTTGACGGATGTTTAAATTTTTGGCCGTGTCTCCGTCACCCTCTGTGAGCCTGTCGGAGGGCCCTTGCGCCGACGCAGAAGGAGAAGTATAAATCAGGCTTTATGCGCCTAAAGAAAACAAATTCATCCAATATCTCATTAACATCTTTATTAGTTGCAAAACTAACACATCACGTTGATAAAACAAACAAGGACCGGTTTCTGCTAACGAAGATACTTTACTGTTGCTATTTAAATGGCTCCTTTACATCTTCCTGCTGTCACACTAAAACAGATGGTAACACTTCCTTTTACAGTCCCCTAATTACTAAGTACTTGCATGGTAATTACATAGTAAGTTAAAGTATATTATTGTGTTATTAAAGTCTATAATTGTAATAAAGTGTAATTATTATGTAAAGCAGGGAATGATAAAGAAAAATAAAAACTAGAATTGAACCTGAGTTACATGGTAATAACTGTTTAAGAACTCAGAAAGAATATTACACTTTAACTTACTAGTACATAGTAATTAGGGGACTGTAAAAGGAAGCGTTACCAAACAGATCAGTTATATGGGGGCCATTATCGCCCGAAGGTGCTTTCATTGCAATCTAGTCGTTTATGTTTATGCTGCACTGATGTAGAAATGAAGCCCAGTGGCTGCGTATCACACTGCTGTACAATTCAAATAAGAAAAATATGAAAAATAGAAGAAAGAAGAATCAAAGGATGCAAACTGTTGTCACAGTAATGGTTGATTCGGTATATTATTGCTCTCCATCGCGTTGCTCTCCTAGGAGAGTTAGACAACTTACTCAGATTGGGCTTCAGGCTAGCTACCTGATACCGCCGGCTGGATAGTAGTGCTGCTGGCACGTAACCCCCAAATTCCACTACCTCCGCTCCGCTCCGCCCCCGCCTTCCGCAGCCGCTCGCTTACGAACTCAATTTTTACTGGTACCCGCTCTACAACGGCTCCGCTCCGGTGCGGAGACCTGAGGTGGGCAAACAAGCATGCGCGGGATTTTCGAGATCTTGCGATACAGTCCAAGCAATAAACGCAGAAGTTAGATCCAAACACCCGTTGTGTGGGAGAAGCATCGAAATGAACTGTTTAATCTGCCCATCATTTGTGTTGAGAGATCAGCAGTGTTTGGATCAACAAAGTGTGACTACTTTGATAGTAGAAACTGTATTTATGGCTTTCTTTTGTGCATTTAAAGTTCAGCCGCCATTCATAGTTGTTAAAGGTTGTTAAACCTGTGCATATGAAACAAAAAACACCTTTTGTTTATCGATTTACTGTGAAAAACGGAAGTTGTGCCCGCTCCTTTTCCTGTTGGGCGGTTGTGATTTCTGTCCATTTACTGCGGAGGTGCTCCGGCGTCCGGCAAAAATAGGATCGATTCTATTTTTGCCGGACGCCGGAACAGAGGGCGGCGCACGGCGCCGCACTGCCGGAGCACGGCTGCAGTAGTGGAATTGCTCTGATTGACTAGAACGGGACCGATTTTGCTCCGGCGTTCGTGTCGGAGCGGAGCGGAGCAGAGGTAGTGGAATTTGGGGGTTAGGTTAATATTTCCCCTGTTGGTCTTTGCTCCTTGCTGTCCAGTAGTCTTATGACTGATGGTGTTTTGGTGTAATTTCAGAAAAACAAGGTTGATGGCACCACAAGGAGAACACGTTAAATGGTTTCAGATGGTTTTTATAAGTTTTAGCTAAGTGTTTGTACCAAACACGCAAAAAATGGACCCAAAATGAAGGAAAAACAAGTCTTCTTGGTGGTACACAGTTTCGTTGTGAAATAGCAGGATTTGATGCTGAAACTTGTCTATGCATATGCACATCTCCTTTTCTTCCCTAGTGAACACAGACATGAATGATTTCCTAAATGTTGAATGACCCCTACGCTGTAGCAGACTACTTTTAGAAAGTGATGCATAAGACGCTATAGGTTCAGGTTCAGGTTTATTTATTTATTTATAATGTGCCTTCATATGGCCCGAGGGACAAACAAAGCACTGAACGCAACAAATTACCACAGTTTGACAAAAGAAACCACACCAGAATATCTAAATAAAAACATATAAAATATTTAAAAGCATTTAAGAAATTAATCAAAAATCTATAGTTAAAATTTAGGTGGGACCAGCGGACAAGCAGTGGGGGGGGTTGCACACGTTCCGCTGCTGTTTCTCACCTGTATCAGCAGATGGAGGGCTCTAGTTTCGTTGCGCCGTTCATGTCAGCGGACACGGTAGGGATGGGGAGGGGGGCGGGGCATGATGCTTAGCCTGGCGGGTGGCCAAGCAAAGCCTGGTGGGCCGCCAGACTTATAAAGCACTGGGGGAAACCCTGAATAAGTGCTTAAGTATACAAATATGCTTACAGTCGTTTTTCAATTGAGGCAATATTTCTAAACTTCTTGCAACTATTTGTAACACATCAATACAAGCTTACCCGTCTCAGTGTTTCTAAAGCTTGCTTTGATTGGATGAAAATGAGCTGTCTGTGATTGGCTGGTGGTGTAGTTCATTTGCAAAAACATTAATTGCGAGCACAGAAACAGAGCCAAGCACGAGCAGTGCTTTTGTAGTTTGTTGGAACTGACTGTGTCAGAAAGCTTTTGACCAAGCGTGTGAGATTTATCTGCATATTATTGGTTCATTCACATAAATATACAGTGGTCCCTCGTTTATCGTGGGGGTTATGTTCTAAAAATAACCCGCAAGAAGTAGCTACCTTATTTTTTACAATTATTATAGATGTTTTAAGGCTGTAAACCCCCTCACACACTTTATACGCTTTTCTCAGACAGGCATGAACATTTTTACACTTTTCTCTCTTGTTTAAACATTCTAAATGCACAGTAATAAAAAGCATGCAAAATTCCACTAAAAGTAAGAATTGTTTTCAGGTGTATTTACTGGTTTTCCCTTAACTAATTAACAAAATTAGCTGCTTGAACGCTTTTATGAGCTGCCTAAATGTTTTTCCTCAAAAAAATCGCTAGAACAGCGAATGCTGATTATATTGCGGTCATAGCAGCACCACGAAAACAATAAAACAACCAGATTCACCACTCCGTGCGTTCGGTTCGGGTCCAACTTTCTACTCCCCTCCTGCCTCAGCGCTGTTACCACCAGTGTTGGGAACGTTACTTTAAAAAAGTAATTAGTTATAGTTACTGATTACTTTGTCAAAAAAGTAACTCAGTTACTAACTGAGTTACAAGATCATAAAAGTAACTAATTACCAACAAAAATTACTTAGTTACTTTTTTCATTAAAGCATGCAAGAATTACTACAATAGTGAAATATAAATGACTAATGACTGGAACATAATAAAACGTATGTCCAAATGTTTTTTTATAAACCTGAATAATTTCAATAAATAAGCACTTAACAGGAGGAACTACTAACAGGAACATTACACTTATCTAGACTATTAAAAGGTCACTGTGTGATATTTAACAAGACCCCAATCAGCTAAAATTTAAAATTGCAAATAGAAACACCTGTAAAGGTTCCCGTGCCTTTAAATGGTATCTCAGTCTAGTTAAATTACAGAAATAAATGTAATTTTCACAGTATTCGAATTTTTCCAGCTTCACATATTTGTGTGTTTTAGCAGCATTTCTGTTGCTGCTAATCTAGTAATGGTTAAATAAATAAATAAATAGCCTTTAAAATGGCACTAGAAGAGGCACAAGCCTGATGGAGGACTTAAATGTACTAACGTGGGTCAGACCCAACCACAGAAGAGCTGAAGCTGGGTGGTGAACACACACAGGTAGTTCTATTAACACCTGAGCTCCATGACGTCTGAGACTGATGCATCAGTGTTACAGCGGGACTAAAGACATGATCAGAAACAGGTTACAGCTGGATGATCTAGGAAGGCAGAAGATCAGGACGTCTGAGCGGTGAACAGGTGAGCGGACCTTCGGGACGTCCCGCTGTCACGCTAAGAAGGGCACGGCTGCAGATTCGCTGCTGCAGGTGGGAATCTGCAGCAGCGAATCTGCGGGTCTGCAGCCGTAGATATTCATCACGTCTTCCTCGTTCTTCACGGGCCGTGATGCGCTTGGATGAAAACATCTACCTCTTTAGCTCCTGATCAGCTGATGACAGCTTCAACACACCGCGCTGCTTAACGCACGCATTTCCTTATCAGTAACAGAAACAACATTTTGATAAAAGAAGACGGCAATTAATTAGTTTGCTCGTTACAGAAAGAAATATTTTTTATTGACGTGGTTATTTTAAACGGCGTTATTACCATCACTTGCTGTGTCTACACTACAGCATGCAGCGAATGAGACCGTGAGGGTCTCCGCCCACCCGGCCAATCATCATCGTGTTTGTAAGTGCGTTACCGACACCTCTCACTCCCTGGCTGCAGCTGAAGTGTGGCGGTCAGAAAGCCTCACACTGTTGC